TTTTTTGGTCCATTTTCTGTAAACCATAGAGCTGTGTGGGAAAGCCCCAGTCCATCATTAGCCATGCTGGCAGCAGGTCTCATGTCTATGTAATTGAGTTGCTGCCTTGCGTTTGGCTCATTAGATATCTCTGGTAACAAGCAGTTGAAGAGGTGTACCTAATGAAGTGGCCAATTAAAAGTATTTTCAGCCTAATAGTCCAGCAGAAAATACTTAGACTCACTGACGTTTGACTTTGACCTTTGGCTTTTATGACTAGCAAATATATTGTAAAATATATGTTTCCATGTTTGCTTTAATTTAATTTATTTCCTAATGGGTCTGTTTAATCATGCATTATAAACAGAGGTAAATGTTTTGCTCAAATTTAACAGAAACAACGTCTGTGACTAAAATTAGAGCTGTTTAATCATGGAGATTATTATATTCTGTGAGGATGGTGCTTAATTTATCTTCATGTCCGAGGAGTCTGGTCCTATCAGTCTGCGCTGTATTATATTAAAAGGTTTTTCTTATCCACACTGAGGTATGTGCTTAAGGAGGAAATTATTTCGGGGCACAGTCATTGTGATTAGGCGTGCCTGTACAGCAGCAAGATTTGTGATTAATGATTTTCTTTATTGTGCTAATACAGAACGATGCCACGCTTGCAGTCCGGTGTGTGGAAGCATTTTACCCCAGCCATCAAAGATGGAAGAGAGACCTTCATGTGCAACTACTGCTCAAAGACATACACAAAGAACGCGACTAAGATGCAGATGCATTTAGACAAATGCAAGGAGTACTCTGTGGTTTCGCAGCAGTCGCCCGGCCCAGATGGGAGCTCCTCTGCCTCCATCCCTGTTCCCTCCTTATCGTTCTTGCCATCTGCCACTCCTGGGGGACAGTTTCTCATTGATTCTGTGGATCAGCGCAGCCAGGCGTATGCCGACGAGTGCCTGGCGAGAGCTGTGTACGCCACGTCTTCACCCCTCACTCTCACAGACAATATTTACTGGAAACGATTTTTCAGTGTTCTTCGGCCGGCTTATTGTCCGCCCCCTAGAGAGGCTCTTTCCTCACATCTGTTGGACTGTGAGTTCGACAGAGTACAAAGTCAGGTTCATGAGAGCATAGGGAAAGCAGACTGCGTCGCCATCATCAGCAGTGGCTGGTCTAACGTGAAAGAAACTGGAACTATTATCTATGCTGTTGCTACTCCTGTACCGCTGTTTTACAAATGCACAATGACAAAGGAGCAGACACACACAAGCACATTTATTGCTGACGAACTTAAAGGCGTCATAAATGAAGTCGGCTCACAAAAGGTTTTCGCTGTCGTCACTGACGATGCCCCGGAAATGATGGCAGCGTGGGTTCAAGTGGAGGAAGCTTTCCCGCACATATCGGCTATTGGCTGCACAGCGTCCGGTGTCGAGCGTCTCTTTTACGACATAGTGGCGCAGCCGTCTATGAAGTCACTGTGCAGGAGAGCTGAGCAGGTGGTGAGGTGTGTTCAAGAGCGGCAAATGTTAAGTGACACTTTTAGGTGCTGGCAGACTACAAAAATAAGAGACCACACTTCTAAAGGGACAGCACTGGAACTGCCCTCTGGCACAAACTGGACTAGTGTGGTTAACATGTTCAGCAGCCTCCTCGAGGGTCAGAACTCTCTACGAGAGATGGCAGTCTCTCCCACACTGGATATTGAAGTGACTGTCAGGGCTACTTTGCAGGATGCCGAGTTTTGGAAAGGGCTGAGCAGCAGTCGGAACTTACTGTACTTGATTGGGAATTATATTGATTTCTTGAAAAGAGAAGATGCCGCGCTCTCTGGTGTTGTCGACATGTTCAGTCAGCTAAGATACGTCATCGGGACTTCTCTGTCAGCATCTGTGCTGCACAGCGCCGAGCAGAAAGCTGTCACGGCATCATTAGACAGGTGTCAGGAGTTCTGCGTGAAACCTATCCACGCGGCAGCGTACATGCTCGATCCAAAGCACGTCGGACAGCAGACGCTCACCGGGGAGCAGATAAACAGCGCTTACTATGCGATATCCAACCTGTCGCACCATTTGAATCTCGACGAGGGTAAAGTGCTCGGCAGCTTTGCCAGGTTCTCGGCCAAGCAGGGACTGTGGAAGGGGGGTGGAATATGGAGCTCGTGTCAGCACGTGTCCGCATCCACATGGTGGAAAGGCCTGTGCTCTTCTGAGCCGCTCTCTGCCGTTGCCTTTGCTATACTCCAGATCCCACCGACAACAGGTGCGTGCGAGCGCCTGTGGCAGCACCTCCGTAGTATGAAGATGAAAGGCTTTGTCTCAGCGGAGAGGGTGCAGAAACTTGTCGCAGTGCAGGCAAATCTCAATCTTTTAGAGCCAAGCGACTTCGACTATGCTCCACTGGAGAGTGACGAAGAGAAAAAGGCTTCATTTCAATCAGAGTCTCACCAGTAAGAAAAATGCCTTACAGTGTAATAAAATACAACTATTAGACTAGATGTACATTTCCTTTCAGTGTACAGGATTTGAACTACTCTGCAAAACAAAGTAAACTGCACCTTGCTCATGTTTCTTTATTCAATCCAAGGCTTTTAGAGAAAACACCTTCATAAGGAGACACTGAATCAGATGCCTTCATGTGTTTTAATCATCTACAGTGAATTCAAGTTTTTTTGTATTACATAATCGCAGTATTTATCAAATTTTTAATCACAACTTAAAATATTAACACAACAACAAGGTCATATATTTCTTACAGCAACTAAACGATGTAAATAAAACCACTGTATTTATTGAAGATAACACTTTTGTCTCTTTTGCGTTTCTACCTGCATGTCAAATAACTTCACCTTCACACACATTAGAAAGTGTTTCTGCACAAATGTTCTTCAGAAATACACCACAATAATTTTAACAAGTAAGATCTAATCTTTATAGTGAAGTTGCCAGGTTACCAGCGATTATTTTATCTTTTTTTTTTCCAATGGAATGAGCATAGAAGTAATTCGCTGTAGAGATGTTGGTAGTTATGTTTTCTTACTTTGAGGTTTCCACTCTTTGCTCTAAGCCAAGTGGCTGTTGGTCTTACATTTAATAGAGTGCTAGTGTTCTTCAAATAAAAGCAAATTCGTGAGTTTAAAAGGTTTAGCACCTTAAACCGAACGTTATACAATGAAATAAAATTACGTTTTGCATTGGTTTTTAAATTAAACGCATCATAAAATAAGCTCTGATGTATCTATGCAATGAGGCACTCACTGTTTCCTCACTCCATTACTCCCACACCCTACACGGGTCTTTCCCTCATCTCTGTCACCACCTCTGCTGTCTTGTGCCAGCGGTTTTGCACCGGGGGGGCCTTGGGACTCCTAGGGCTGATCTGGGCCTCATAAACACTAGCATTATTAATCTTTACAGAAATGAGCCGGCTCGTCTCTAGAGGTGTCTCTGCTTCAGTGGCAGCAGATCTGAGGCAATGCTCTCCACTGGAACACTCAGTAATTCCACCGATGCCTTTTCCTTGAACTTCATACATTTCTTCTTGCTGCCTGTTGTCTGTTCTTCACGGTGGATCTTGTAGGCTGTAATAATTAGAGAGACCGTTTATATCAGGTTACAGAAGAACAGGGCCGTGTTCAAGATGTGTGCTGTTTATGCCAGATGGTGCGTTGGTTGGTTTTTAAAGTTGCCCTTTTAGTGATTTAGTCATATGAAGCTGAGTGCATGCAATTACTAATATGGTAATTTTTTTCTTTTTGGTCATGGTTTTATCTGTGTTTCATCATTTGTTACAGGCCAACATGATCAGTGTCAAAGGCTTTTTGTGTTGTCGGCTCACGAAGCGCTACTGTTACATTCTAACTTTCTGCCTGGAGGTAAAATTCAAATATGACACATAATTCAAAACAGTAAAATGTTGTAACTCTGTACACAGAATATTTTCAATTGTTTTACTATAGTATTGTACAAAAGACTTTAGAAAATAGATCAAGCTTTCTTGTAATTGTTTTTTTATTTTTTTTAATTATTAAATATTGTTCAGGAGTCGTTCTTCAGGCATCTTGAAGGACATTCAAAGCTTTTCTTTAAATGTCTGCGTTTTGTTCTGTTCTCTGTCGAGATGATCCCACACTGCTTCAATACTGTTGAGGTCTGAGCTCTGAGGAGGCCCATGAATACCAAATACTGTTTTATTGTGTGTTTTTCTATCCAGGTATGCTCTTAGTCCATTGGCACTGTATTTGGGATCATTGTCATACTGAAAAAAGAAGCTGTTCTCAATCAGATGATTTCCAGATGAATCGAAATCTCACGCTGCTTTTCTGCGTTCATAATTCCATCAATTTTAACAAGATCTCCAACACCACTGCCTAAAATTCAGCCACAAACCATGACAGAGCTTCCACTGTGTTTTACAGATGGCTGCAGACACACTGCTGGAGCTTTCCCCCTAATCTTGTCACTACACTGACAACAGTTTTGAACTGTTTGAAATCTGGATTGATAGCTTTATAAGGCCTGTTCTTCTTCTTCTTCTTCTTCTTCCACTTCTCCAGTTTCCCCAAATTATTATATTATTATATCATCATGACAAGGAGTGTGTCAGGTTTTTTGCTAATGGCTTTTTGGGAATTACCTTGTTGGTATAAAAAATATTATTTGGTGCCTTCAAACTGAGTTACCTTTGACATTTTTCATCTTTTAAATAAAGAAACTGGAACAAATTGTCTTTTTGACGCAGAGTCCAAGTTAAAAGGACGTAAACATCCGATTTAAATTCACTCTTGTGAGCAAAAAGACAGCTAAAGCCCAAGAATATCTAGCTCTTTGTAAGCAAAATATAAAGAAATAAGGGTTGGGCCTGACCCTTGTTCCTTATTATATTTTGAAATGAAAAGAGAGATGATTAATCTGATGAAAGAAACATGAATAAAACAAATGTATAATGGGATCCAAATGCCCACTTAATTACCTTTAATAGCCACTTTAGGTCACCTCTTTCTCTCTAATATATAACCTATACACCTTTCATACATCTCACTTTACCTGTTTTCAGCTTCGTGCGACATCTACAATGCCCTATAATTAAATGACTCCGTTGCTGCCTCTCTGACATAGAAACATCATTTATCCCT